AATAGGATAACCATAGTGGCGCCCCTTGAAACCAATGGGACTTCCACAAAAATCAAAGTATTAGCGCTTTAACTCTAAAACAGATTAAATGGATTTGCAATGGAGAAACGAACAAAGGAAGCAATTTGAGTGGTCTTAAAACTAACTCATTGATATGGGCTCTACTAGAAAAACTGAGCTTGGAAAAGAGAGATTAGCTAAAAGATAACCGCCATGAAGAAGTCACATGTAATAATTGTAGAAATGTGTTTCAGTGTGCTGCGTGGTACTGCGAGAAAGAGTTTAATTAATAGTCACATGCCCCATTGCAGTGTACTGCATTTCGTAGGATGCTTTAAATCAATCATAGCAGTGAGTCACACACACAACCAACAGCCAAGCTTACTTGCATATTGCACACTTCTATTGCTGCCCACAGATACTACTTGCCAGCTAAGTGCTATTTCTTATTTTTATTCTTATACTGTTTTTTCGGTTGTTTTGTCCGCTGACGAAGGCTTTCTGCCGACACGTTCGCTGTTTTATTGCGGTTTTTTTTTCCCATGTTTAACCCTACTCTGTTTTACTCATTTTATTTTGCATATTGCAGCAGCGCAGCCTACCTGCAAAGACTACACCAGTACAGTATGGTCTTCAATGCATACATCAGAGAAGCACATTTTCTAACGTATACAACAGAGCAGAGCAGCCACAATGAAAAGTCCACAACATGTTCATTCAATAAAACAGTCCACCTATCATAAATACTACAACAAAACAGCATACCATCTAAGAAAACTACAACAAAACAGCACACCATCGCAGAATACTACAACAAAACAGAACAGCCCACTTTCTTAGAATACAACAACAAAAGAAAACAGCCAACCTTCCATGAATACAGCACACCATCTAAGAATACTACAACAAAAGAGCCCACCTTCCATGAATACTACAACAAAAGAGCCCATCTCCGTGAATACTACAACAAAACAATACAGCCCGACTTTCATGACTACAGCACACCATCACAGACTAAATACAGCCAAACAGCCCATCTTTCATGAATACTACAACAAAACACAACAGCCCGCCTTCCAATCACACTACAACAAAACACAACAGCCCGCCTTCCAATCACACTACAACAAAACACAACAGCCCATCTTCCATGCACACTACAACAAAACACAACAGCCCGCCTTCCATGCACACTACAACAAAACACAACAGCCCGCCTTCCATGCACACTACAACAAAACAAAACAGCCCGCCTTCCATGCACACTACAACAAAACACAACAGCCCGCCTTCCATGCACACTACAACAAAACACAACTTACATGATTACCTGTACGGCAAACGAACAGCCCAACTTCAATGCACTCTACAAAACAGTTTACCTTAAGTTTATACATCAGAACAGCATGGTTTTGATGGATACCAACACTGAACAGCACGCCTGATCACGGTCACCCTGGTCTTTTAATTTTGTACAGAACTTGTCAATGGATCCTATGACAATGACGGTTTAATTAGGTCAGAACTTGTCAATGGATCATATGATGGTTTAATTAGGTCAGAACTTGTCAATGGATCATATGATGGTTGAATTAGGTCAGAACTTGTCAATGGATCCTATGATGGTTGAATTAGGTCAGAACTTGTCAATGGATCCTATGATGGTTGAATTAGGTCAGAACTTGTCAATAGATCCTATGATGGTTTAATTAGGTCAGAACTTGTCAATGGATCCTATGATGGTTTAATTAGGTCAGAACTTGTCAATAGATCCTATGATGGTTTAATTAGGTCAGAACTTGTCAATGGATCGCATAATGGTTTAAATTGGACATAACTTGTCACTTACCCACATTTGGGGGACCTCGATTTTTTTTTTTTAAAATATCTAACAGCTGGATATGGCTAAGACATTTTAATCCAACAAATCTAGTTCTTGAAAGTTTGCAATACAAGCGTACCACCGGTGGTAATATAAATTGACCCACACTGCCACAATAAATGAACCAATAATGAGCTCAAGACTGCCGAAAGATTACAGTGACTTAAGGAACTCACAGTAAGGATACTTTTCATAAAATAAAGGAGACCACAAAAACAATAAATGTGTCTACCACAAACCTTCACCAGCCGGTGTGGCGACCAATGATGGTAAGTACACAAACCCGGTCAAATGAAATAACACAATGAGATGCACAAGTCAGGAGAAATACAAATCCATTCAGACACTTTCCAGGTCCACATCATCACATGCATGCACAGAAGGAAACAAAAAAAGTGTTCATTGTTTATAATTTTATTTCATTTCAAACGTTTATTCCAATTTTATTTATACACCTACTGATAAATGCTGATACTTGCTGGGGGTGATTTAATGTGTCACATATGTTTGTTTTTATCAACGGTAGTTGTAGTTGCTGAGGATAATAAAAATGAACATTGACAGGAATCAGTAAGCAATGGACAAAACATGAGACGCTCACTAGCCTTGAAGAAAAATGGGGCGGTCTTTACAAAGTTGGGTGGCCATTAACATGGATGGGGCAGTCATTACATGGATGGGGCAGTCATTACATGGATGGGGCAGTCATTACATGGATGGGGCAGTTATTACATGGATGGGGCAGTCATTACATGGATGGGGCAGTCATTACATGGATGGGGCAGTCATTACATGGATGGGGCAGTCATTACATGGATGGGGCAGTCATTACATGGATGGGGCAGTCATTACATGGATGGGGCAGTCTGGGGCACAGACTAGTTAGTCGCTACAAAGTTTGGCAGTCATTACGAAGTTGGGCAGACATTTCACAGTTGGGGCAGTCCTTACATAGACTGGTTAGTCGTTATACAGTAGTGGGAGTCATTACACATATGGCTATGTCATTACTCGGATAGTCATTCCAGATTGGGCAGTCATTACACAGATGAGGCAGTTATTACACTGATGGATCGATCATTACACTAATGGGGCAGTCATTACACAGATGGGGCAGTCATTACGCCCATGGGGCGGTCATTAAGTTTTTGTTTGTATGATGACTGAATTAAAGGGCATGTTTGTAAGGGATTTAAATACTGTTCCACTGATATAAGCTAACAAAGACTGCACAGCTGTGACATAGCTGATGATGCCTGTACAGATATAATAATTGAAAGTTGGCTGAGCAGCTGTAATGAATGACATGATGTCCTCTGAATGTGTGAATACTTTGTGCAAATGTGATTGGGTTGTCGTCCTGCTCGGAGTTCATGAATGTCTCAGCAAAACACCTGACTGAAAACAAGCAAAAGTAAAAAATGTTAACAGCTCCGATAAAAATCGAGGGTGATCTATCTCTCGTGAGAGTTAAGAACAGAGCTGTACTGGTACAAATTCATAAAGCCGGGTGAACTTGTATCCTTCAGGTCTTGATGGTCACAATCTTAAGGGCAAATCCGTCTTTGAATTATCTGGTCAATTCATTTATCTGACAGGTGTACAGTGTGGCAACAAAACCGATGCGTTTAGCCAGTTTTGACATTTAATTTATCATAGCAAAGAAAGGAATCCAGTCATAATATGATGTCACCACAGTTACAGCTGGGAAGCTGAAGGTTTTCAGACTGACATAGCTCAGAAGTTAAAAGGAGCTGCAGGAATGGACATGGAGCGGGGGGGGGGGGGGGCTTGATGATGAGATAGGAAAGTGGTTTGTGCCCTTGGCTAAAACAAACAAACAAGAAAATGAACTTTGAGTTTAAGACCATTGTTAGATAGGCCCAGTCACACATTGGAAAAAAAGTTAAAAGGAGCTGCAGGAATGGACATGGAGCGGGGGGGGGGGTGCTTGATGATGAGATAGGAAAGTGGTTTGTGCCCTTGGCTAAAACAAACAAACAAGAAAATGAACTTTGAGTTTAAGACCATTGTTAGATAGGCCCAGTCACACATTGGAAAACAAGTGCACTAAGACTGGGTGGAGAATTGGCCTTCTGATGGATGCAATGTAACACAAAAATATCCATTTGTGCGTGTGTGATCTTGAATAAGACAAGATGATTTGTACACAATGCCTTTATCCATCAGCTCAGTTATGAAATACATGGATGTTTTGCATTTGAACTTTTGTGTAAGCCAGGACCTCACATTAGAAATGGTATCACAGTGCAAGGACACAGTGCAGTGTAGTGTTAGTTGAATGAGCAAGTCACTGATATGCCTGAACTATACTGCAGGATTCTCAAACCATTCTCACCACTACATATCGACAGCTCCAGTGAGTCACACAAACATTGTGAGTTATGAAAAAAAAACTGTCAAAAAAAGTTTCAGTTCATGCTAAGAGTTGGAGAAACCTTCTAACAATACATTACTAAAAATTATTGATGAATCAAACTACACCAAAGTCACTTTATTTTTTTTTTGCCCCTAAAATATTTTGAGGGTGCTGATTCAATTTTCATTTATCAAAATTATTTGCTGTGTACAAGGAAATTAAAAAATATGAAATAAATTAAAACATACAATTTCTACCATTTGCTTAGGATAAGCCGACAGTTAAATTAAATACATATGTAACAACGCAACAAAGGAATAAATATGACACTCATGAGAGCCATTTTTTTTTGGGGTGTCACTCTCGGCAACATGCTTTTGATAAAACATAAACCAACTGGTACATTGTTGCACATACATCATAGTACCCTTTCATCAGCTAAAACATAATATCTCTTATGTTGCACATGCACAGGAATTATGGCCAGGTCATTCATTTAAAAAACATCTTAAAAAATCATCACATGAAAAGTTTTAAATTCATTTTCTAGATACAAAATCAAAACTATTGGCTTGGGAGTTTGGGAAAGGGGGGGGGGGGGGGGGGGTGGGGGAAAATAAGATTAATTCCAACTGTAACAGAAAATTTTTTTCTCTGAGATTAAAAAAAAACATCTTAAAAAATCATCACATGAAAAGTTTTAAATTCATTTTCTAGATACAAAATCAAAACTATTGGCTTGGGAGTTTGGGAAAGGGGGGGGGGGTAGGTGTGTGTAAATAAGAATAATTCCAACATTAACTGAAAAATTTGTTCTCTGAGATTAAAAAAAATTGCATGAAGTATCATGTACAGCGTACACCAATAATATGCACAGCGTAGTAAAACAAGGAACAGTAACTCGAAACATTCCAGCAACCGTAACCCTTCAATGACACTCACAGCAACATTTAAATTTTTAAAAAATTCACCGCGATGAATGAGATATTTGAAATCAAATGTTTAAGACTTGATGCTTCTACTGACGATGTTCAACATCTAAGGTCAAAAGTTCACTTTATAACATCATGTCCCTAAGAAAAATAATAATAATATCATCATTCAACATCTCCAGCTGAATTTTGTGGACAAACTAAGCATATTAACATTGAACATTCTGAAGCTGTAATTGGACAAAGCCAACTTTGTCTCTAGTTTATGTCAAACATTGAAATGCATTTCTACCCAGCTATGCTATGACTATGAATGAAAACATTTTAAAGATTATTTCTTCTCTTTTTTTTTGCAAGGGGAAACAACTCAATGGTTTATCCTAATATTGCAACAGGAAGGTGAGCATGAGTAATCCTTGCTTACTGCTAATGCCCAAAAAAAAATTAAAAAAAAAAAATTTACAATTGGCCACTTCGGGCAGTATTTCAGGACCTTCTGGAAGAATAAATTTCCCAGCACAGGGATAGTTACTCCATCGCTGTAACTAAATGTGTTCTCACACAGCTTACACAGGGTCATTAACTCCATTGCTGTGAAAAATAATTTATCTCTACACAGTGCAGATAACTTTATTCCTGTAATCAAACACCTAGGATCCTAGGACCAGTTACTCAGAACCCACTACTTGGAGCCCATTACTCAATATAAGTGACCACTAGTGAGACCAACCAGGGAATATAGGTGCCAATTTCTCCCATCACGACAGGAAGTGAGGTGATTCAAGTCGCTATTGAAATCTGAGCACCTGGGTCCATGTACTTGGGCCGCAAGGGCCCAGAAGCCTCATTGAAAGATGAACATTTCAGAGAGGGACAAGTCCATCTTGTAAATGTAAGGAGGGGTGGGCCCTTAAGGGTTATTCAAGTCCATCTTGTAAATGTCAGGAGGGGTGGGCCCTTAAGGGTTATTTATCTCAAGCATCAATCCAATTTATTCAAACACCGGCAAGAGTTCAGGCCCCACAGGGCATGACCACCACAGGTCACTACCGACAAAAGCACAATTGGGGGTTTCCATGACTGGGATACAATCTGCAACACCCAGCCATTATCTCACCCCCACAGCTGTAGTGTCTGATGAAGAAATTAAAACATTTAGTACTGCCGCATGAGAAACATCATCCATCCAGCTACAGGTAAGATGTCTTGTCCACCACCTTTGTGTACACTGCCCGTGTCTGAGACGTGGAGGTCTGCGACACCTGGTAGCTGTTCTGTTGTTCTACCTCGTATCCGTTCTGGTAATCCACATTCCGCTGCATGCGGTGATCACGAACCTGAGCCCGCTGAATATCGTTTTCGGTCCTGGTCATCTTCATTTGGGTGGACATTCGGCCATCGTGGCCATTTAAGACTAACATCTCCTCGGCATGCGAGGACGAAACAAACCCATCTGATTTACTTGTGGGAAACGTAAACCCCCCGTCTCCACGTGTTAGTTCCTCTGTGTCCATGTCGTACATGCCATTCATATTGTCGTAGTCAGAGGCCGTCGAGCCAGCTGGAGATTTCGTGGAGTCGTTGTCGTCAGTGTGTGCAGGTTTTTGTTCATTTGCTATAGTAACGGGCAGGCTGGTATGGTTTATAACTGTGACGTGATGGGGTGACGACGGGCCTCTTGAATTTGCTCTCGCCATGTCCACTTGTTGTTCATGCGAGGCTGTGGGACGGGGTGTGATGTTCCCTACCCTGCGGTCTGCTTCATAAGACCTTGACCCTTTCATCTGGTGGTAGTTTGTTGGAGTGGCATTTTTTAAACCGTTGTCGTACGAAGCAGAGGATTTGGGGACAACTCTCCCAGCACGTTGTTGAGCTGTGTATTCGTGAGAGGTGATCACCCTTGGATTACTGTCAAACGTTGTTACCATCCTTCGGGGCGACATTTCTAGAGAGGTGGACTGCCTCATCGATGACGGATGGTCGTAGGAAGAAGATGACCGTGGCATTTCATAGGATTGTGACATAATGGCCGGCGGACTATTACTTGCATACTGATCTGAGGGCATTGGGGGATTTGTTGGTGTGGTGGGTGTGGCTACCTCCACCCCCACATCGTCTAAGTCCACCGGTGTGGTGAAGCCGTGACCTAGTCCCGTCATGCTGCCCATCTCAGAACTTTCACCAAAAGATGTCCTAGAGCTGGGCGCCGATGTCTTGCCACTGAAGTCTGCCAGGGACAGCCTGGAGTTGGTGGCCGTGTCGTAGTAGGATGATTTATCATCTATTGAGTACTGGGACATGCGAGAATGAAGCGACCTCGTGTCACCACGACTCCTGGTCATTTCAGGAGTGCTCAGCAAGTTGTTGCCCCCCGACACGCTGCCCCCCGTGTTCTTCCTCCTCAGGTATGCAGCCTTGCCCCCAGGTTGCCTTGGCACATTTTTGCGAAAATGTTCATCAACAGTTTCCTCTGACCTGCGACCTATCAACTGCTCCACGCTGGGCTGGATCTCCAGACCGAATGGCAGTTTTGGGTTTTCGATGTCTGTTTTAGGTTGCATGGGTATTGCCATCCTGGCCTTCTTGAGCTCTTCCATGCAGATCTGAACTTGTTCTATCACAGTGTCATTGTCATAATGAAAATCCTTCTCCAGGCTGGATTGAAAGAAAGTCAACAGTTCGTCCATTTGCATCTTAAGGATCCGGCCTAGAGAAAAACAACAAAGAATTACATTATGAACAGATTTTGTTTAAATACATCTTTTAATTTTAAGAAGTTGATATGTTATATGTTCTAATAACTACTGAGGACACGGTAGTAAATAATAAATCTCTAGGTATGTATGTATGTATGTATGTAACGGCTGTAACACTCTGTAGCACAAAATAAAATTCCCAGAAGTTAGCACTGATTGGGTTTCTTGTGAGGTGCTTTATTTGAATGCATGTTTTGTCAAGTTAATTAAGTAGTTTACACATTGCCGCCGCCATCGTTTGGTTGGTTATAAATAATAGGAGCTATAATACTAACGATAACATTCATGTTCATAAAACTGCTATATTCTTTGAGAGAACAAACATTTGAAATGACATTTAACAGCCCTTGAAACATTCTTTTAACAATTTAACGGGAACTTTGCCTGTTTGGAAACCAAAATTTTTCTCTGTCACCCCTGTCATTATTGGTGTGGTCATTTAAACATCTGATGGCTAGAGCTGCTAGAGCTGCTAGAGCTACCAGCGCCTGGCGCTAGGAGAGACAACAAGCTACGTAACAGCCCCGATGCCTGGTACTAAGAGAGACAACAAGCCACAAAACAGCCACTTACGTCTGTGGATCTTGATGATGCAGTAGGCCATGGACACAAGCAACTGGTCACCATCCAACATGTGGATGTCCCACAACCTTAAAGTGAGGTGGAACGGGGTCTGGACATAGACCAACAAATAGCATTTTGTTAGAACATTTCTCAATATTATCACAGTCTCCTACCAGGGAACAATGTTAACAAAGATTAATTAGTCAATTTATATTTTTGTAAAATTAATTTGCATTCATAGCATTATGATGAATATCCAAATGTTAACTGACAAATGCCATAAATGTATACTTCTTGAAATTGATGCAGAGACAATTTGACGATAACTTTTATAGATTAAATTTGGAGCAACACAATTTGATCACAAATCCTTTAGCTCCTATGCCCAAGATTCTACATAAGAACTCTCCCTTCAGTGACAAGAGAAAATTCTGGAATTGAGGAATGATGGGAGACTCAAATCCAAAGCTCAGTGAAGATCCATTTTGTATCTTCTAGGTTTTAGTCAAGGGTATCCTAGGGGTCATATGGAGGCTATTTCGATTCTGCTACACTTTTTAACCATTTATTCATGTCCACTATGTTTCTCTACAATTGTTTTAAAATATTGATAGGCAGTCGTGCTGGAAAGACATAGACATGAACTCTGAGTTGCTCTATCAGATATTGAGCCAAATATAAAACAACCATGTTCAGCAAAACAGGCGATAATGTCTCATTAGTTAGTATTAAAATTAAATATTTAAATTAGTGTTTGAAGTTTTTAATCCCCCCCCCCCCCCAATCACTTCTATTTAATATTCACATTAAAATCATGTTTTACTAGTGGTGGGCCGTGGATATATGGGGAAAGGTCTAGGTGTGCCTCGGATATATGGAAAGGGTCAAGGTGGGCCGTGGATATATGGGAAGGGTCTAGGTGTGCTGTGGATATATGGGAAGGGTCTAGGTGTGCCTCGGATATATGGAAAGGGTCTAGGTGTGCTGCGGATATTTGGGAAAGGTCTAGGTGTGCCGTGGATATATGGGAAGGGTCTTGGTGTGCATGGATACATGGGAAGGGTCTAGGTGTGCCGTGGATATATGGGAAGGGTCTAGGTGTTCCTCGGATATATGGGAAGGGTCTAGGTGTGCCGCGGATATTTGGGAAGGGTCTAGGTGTGCCGTGAGTGAAAAAAGGTTGTGGAAGCTCTGACACGTCCTTTTTTTTTCAGCTCACTAAATCCTAGCTATCAGCAATGCCGTCAAAATGAGCCATGTAAACAGACTGAGAATTATGCTCACCCTGTCTAAGAAACACTGCAGGAACCATTTGATGGTGTAAAGGGTTGGGTACATCTCATTCTTCTCCTGAAATAAATGACAAAACACTTGCAAAAAACAGTGGCATAGAAGTATGGAAAAATCTTCAGAGAATCAAAACATATCATAGCTATAAATAGACCAAAAAATTGACAAAACTGCTGTCCTAATTTTAGAGAAGAATTTTTCCCCCGACAGGTCTTATCTACCAGAAGAAAAAAAAATTAGGGGTTGCCCGCTCCAAATATGGGCAATGAACAATAAAGGTAAAAAAAAAAATAATAAAGGTTGGTTGATTGTGATTGTCAGGCTTGATGTGGAGTTATAAGAACCAGATATAATAAGAAATTTAAAAAGACCATTTCTCACCATGTGCTTCCTGATTTTAGGCAAAAATTTCTTCAAAACATTATCATGATGTTCCTGAAAACGCAACAGCTTCGGGAATCCATGGATGAAAAATCCTGGAGTGAAAAAAGTTATTAACTTTATGAATGTGCCGTGCTGACCAAAATTATTGCAGGGATCAATGGCTACCGATCAAACATAATTTCTAAAATAGATAAATTACGTCTCCACCTTAAACGGATGATTCAGGGCCAACATTAAAACAAGACAGAACAACAGACACATTTTAAAAAGAAAATTCCTGTGCCTAAATTTGGCCATTTCTCATTGATGTTTTTGGGTGGTGCAGTGTGACAAACAAAATACCTGTGCCTAAATTTGGCCATTTCTCATTGATGTTTTTGGGTGGTGCAGTGTGACAAACAAAATACCTGTGCCTAAATTTGGCCATTTCTCATTGATGTTTTTGGGTGGTGCAGTGTGACAAACAAAATTCCTGTGCCTAAATTTGGCCATTTCTCATTGATGTTTTTGGGTGGTGCAGTGTGACAAACAAAATTCCTGTGCCTAAATTTGGCCATTTCTCATTGATGTTTTTGGGTGGTGCAGTGTGACAAACAAAATTCCTGTGCCTAAATTTGGCCATTTCTCATTGATGTTTTTGGGTGGTGCAGTGTGAAAACTATTCTATTTACCATGTCTTTGTTTAAGTTTCCTGGCACTGCTATTTAATCAAAATTCCTCACACTTGGTGATGATGATGGTGGTGATGATGATGGTGGTGATGATGATGGTGGTGATGATGATGGTGGTGATGATGATGGTGGTGATGATGATGGTGGTGATGATGATGGTGGTGATGATAATGAAGGGGATGATAATGATGGTGAAGGTGATGGTGGTGATGGTGATTACTTGTATAGGTCTAATTATCAACATTCCATGACAGAATTTAAGGTTTGAAAAATAAATATATGCACTGTTTCAGTGAGGAGCAACGACCAAGGAAATGATTATTAAATTCTGTGGATTATTTAAGATTATAATCTATTAATGTAAAAATCTTGCAACCGGTCTGTGAGCATGGGTCACACACACCAAAACAGCAACTGTAGACTAAACCTTTTTAAAACCTTCCTTGATTAAATAAACTACTTTAGTTTGCTTGACTTCCCTATTACCTAGAATGAGGCATTGTAAAAACTTTAAAGATTTACTGATGTGGAGTCATTAAAGATAAGATGTGTCAAAAAATAACTTACCATGCATGGTGTGTCTTGGTCCATAGAATAGTTGTGAAAGACCCCAGAAGGCATCCTAAAGGTGAATACAACAAATCATTTCATTCTTACATGACTCGGTTATGAGTTTGTTCATCAACATTAGCAGCTTTGTAAAAATATGGAAAAATCTGATCAGGCTATACTCATGTCCCATTTAGGTAAAAGGCCTTAAGAAACAACTTTTTAAAAACTTTCATTTGAATTAACATCTTGCTCCAAAATTAAAATTAAAATTAAAAATCTAATCTTGTGTATAAAGAACTAACAAGAGCATCTCATGTGTACACTTGTACTGTAGTTTGTTTGCTAACATGTTTCCCATTCATTATTTTGTATCACTATCCGCGTGAAAAAATTATTCAATTTTGATAAACTGCATGTTTAAAAAAAAAAATGTTCTACTCCATCTTCTGATTGGTTGAGCTAGCACAAGGTGCCCACAGCACTGCAAAGAAGACTGAGCCCAGCCAAGGGTTGTGACGTACCTCCTCATTGAGATACATGAGCAGGAGAGCGGCGATCTCACTCATGCCCTGACAGTAACCCACTTCAGTGTTGTACACAGAGTAGGCTGCTAGGACGTGGAACAGAGCTTGCTGTCTGGAACAACAATCACATTATCTCACTGTTAAATGACAACTTTAGACTTTTACATAACTTACTACATTTTTAGTGAGCCATTCTCGTAACAAGCTGAGAAAACCACTTTTTTTTTTTTTTTAAATACACATTTTGAGGCTCCATAGTAATTTGAGAGCCAGTGAAATGCACCCTTAACATGAGCCATAATTTGAACAATTTACAAAGTCAAAAGGGCATCATTGGGCCATCACTGAACATATGAATCAGGAAAAATAAAAAAATGACAACTTTAGACTTTTACATAACTTACTACATTTTTAGTGAGCCATTCTCGTAACAAGCTGAGAAAACCACTTTTTTTTTTTTTTTTAAATACACATTTTGAGGCTCCATAGTAATTTGAGAGCCAGTGAAATGCACCCTTAACATGAGCCATAATTTGAACAATTTACAAAGTCAAAAGGGCTTCATTGGGCCATCTCTAAACATATGACTCAGGTAAAATAAATGATTGGAAAGATTAAAAAGATGTCACTTTGTAAAGAAAGCACACTGAGAGTCAAGTGATCTGCTTGTAGGAACCATTCAACATGACCATCCAATGATGGTCGTAACCCTTTTAGTTCTGATATAATTTGGACCAACTGCCACCTTAGCAGTTTGAAAGTGGGTCTGGGATATAAACCTTATGTGTCAGACTCAACACCATGAAAGGTAACTTACTTTACACCATAACGTTCCCGGAACATAATATGATTTCTGTATGTTCTGTTCACATCTAAATCTATTTGGCGTATAGATGTCGACTTCGTTCGAGCTCTGTCCCGCATTTTCTGTGGAAAATAAACAGACAAATGTTGCCATTTCAATTTTTTTTTGTAAATAAGCTCATGTCAACATAGTATAACACCAGCTAAGTACTTTTTTTTCCTACTTTTTACAAACAGATCAATATTGTAGTTTACATTTTTACATAAAAATCCTTGCATCATCATGAACGAATATCGCTATTTTGATACACTCTAGTTCCACTCTCATGCAGACCTTGTTACACCGGAACTCCCTAAATAGTGCAATAAAGTCTCAGAATAGTACTTTAACATCCCAAAATCATTCAATACAGTATAAAAAAACGTAAATAAATAAACATACAGTATAATAAAAACAATAACTATTCGCATCCCATGTCCTATAAAGAAGATGACTGATGTTTTTATATTTAAATACAGCGCATTATTGCAATAAAAAGGTGCCTGCCATTATCCACTTTGACAGCCGAAGATGTGGTGGGGGAGCGGAAATCAAGGACATCCGCCAAAGTCACCCGAGCAATTGTGGGTTTGGGGAGGATGCTGAGCCCACTTGCCAGATATTTTTTTTTATAAATCCAAAATGCAGACGTGCACTTTTGCAATATATTTCTATGAAATAAATTGATCCACATTCATCATTTGTTATTTTGTGTGTTGCATAACATTATTTCCCCTAGCTGTCTTTTGTAAATTATTCAAATTTAAACTGAGATAAATTCCTTTTCTGCTCATGATCATTAAAAAAAAAGAAATATTTTTTTAAAAAATAAAACCTGCAGTTGAAATAATGTTTACCCCTCTCCAATCGATTAGAAAAACCAAAAACCTGAAGTAATCTCCCTTGATCTTATTTCTTGCAGGATTTTCATTTAAATGGAGAGGTTTCACCATTCTATACAGCATCGTGTAAGCAGCAGGTTGAGTTGCCTGATTTGCCTGTTACAGGGCTTGAATGGGTTAATAAAGCTTTAACAAACAGCCATGGTAACAGTGTGAAGTATTTATTTTTCTACTCACATTGTATATGCCTTCTTGTTCCGCCTTGACCCTGGGTATATTGAGCAGCTTGGACCACACCTCTCCCCGTAAACAGTCGGGTATGCCCTTGTACACACGCCGAGTCAACTACAATAGCATCAGGGAGACAACTTACCAAGAGGTGCATATCACAATGATGAGGTGACAGCTGATTTATTAATGTGGTGGTATCATTAACTTACTTATCAATGTGGTGACGTAAATAAAAGAGTTATGATGTTATGTGTAATAATGATGTGAGTAATGATGTTGTGTGTAATGATTTCATGTGATATTAAAAACACGCAGAGTGAGTTTCCAACCTTTTCGCTTGGGAAATATTTCTCCCACTGAGTCAACATTTTCAGCCACTTTGTTGTTCTTTCTCTCTCCACCAGCTTGGCCTAAAATGGGAAGATCACTTATACTAGTTATAAATTTAACGTAACTGATAGCAGAATGCTGTGCTACCAGGCACGAACTGTAAAAAAAAAAAACAACAACAAAAAAACACTGCATTTTATCCCAATTAAACTAACTAAATAAAATTAACATTTTCTCACTAACTGTAAAAGCATTTAAATTTTATCCTAACTAAACTAACTATAAAAAACTAGTATTGTTATCTAATCTGCACTAACTATAAAAATGTGGCATTGTTATCGACAATAAAAACATGTCATTTTTATCCTATTGCACTAGCTATAAAACATTGCATTATTAAAGAAAACTATGGAGAGTTACCTTCTCCTCTGCTGCATCCATGTTCTTAGGCAAAGCTGTATCACTGAAATAGACATCAAAGAGAAAATAAATCTTCACTGTATGTGTCTTTTACACTGTCATTAAATACTATACACAGTTTAAGTTGTGAGCTTACGTATCTGTCACAAAACATGTTATCTGTCTTTAAACTTAATACAAATCAAAGAAACTGATACCTGTCATAGAGCTCAAGCTCTGTCACAAAATGAAACTTTCAACTTACTGAATGAATCCATATCTATCAGTGACATGGTACACCTCAAAGGCAGGATCCTCCCAGGGGTCAATTTGAGCACCCTCTTCTCTGCCCTGAGCGAAGAAGAAAAGAAAGAAAAATTAGTTTTTCAACATTTCTAATCAATTTGTTAGTACTATATATAATCAGGTTATGCTAAATAAAACAGCCCCAACCCCATCTCAAAGCAACAAGAAAGCACAACACCCATCTCTAACCAAGAACACCAAAGAAACGCCCATCCAGCACTAACTAACAGGACCCAACCCATTGCTATCCCTCAGAATAGATCCACCCATCTCCAGCCAGCAAGAAGCCAGCTAAAACATACTAAAAGTCAGGACGTGAAGATGCAAGACATCACTATCCATCACAGCCCCATTAGGATGAGACTGACACTGGCAAGAGATAACGAGTTACAATGACCTCCAGGTAACACACTACAACAGAAGTATTCCACTGCTCTGAGAATTAATGGAGTAACAGGTGTGCTGCGGGTAATAAATGGTGAAAAACACCTACAGGTAAACAAGTGCCTTTCTGGTATACGAAGAAGTACCTTTCGGGTATAAAGAAAAACAGCCACCTTTGAGGTATACGGAGACACAATCACACTCATTCGGAAATGAAGGCAACATTAAAACCATATGTAAATCCCTTCTGTCTGGCTTGCGGCTGCTGAATAAAGGATGCGAAGATTTAATTGGTTGTAAATTTAAATTTTCTTTCACTTTGTTTTCTTTTTCCTTCAAGTACGGGGTACTTCACTTGGATCAGACAAAGATGTCAAATATTATGTTGGACCAATACAAAAATAGAAAATTCCCCCGCCCCCCTCCCCCCCCCCAAACCCCTGTCCCCACTTGCCCAACAGGTATTACAGTTGTTCCCTCTTGGTAAAGATACATCCTTTCGCTGCAAAAAAACCCACAGCCCACTTGAGACAATCAAACACTTGTTAATGATGTTATGCAGCAAGTGGCCAGTGTTGGGTTTCCAGCATTACCTGTGAGCTTAACTTCAGACACTGAGTGTGTGTGAGTAAAGTGCTTGCTGCCTCTATATCAGTGTGTGTGTCTGTGAGTGGATCGTGTGGTCTTTGTATCTGTGGTTGTGTCCCGGAAGTGATGTGATATAAACATTTTTTGTATGCTCAATTTAGGATGTGTCAAGAAATGAATTTTATTTACATTGAGAATAGAATCTACTTTTTGTAGCTTAAGGTGCTACTCCTTGAATGGCAAGTTATAAAAATTGAATAATCTGAGAAATTATTGACATAGTTACAGCTTCAAGGTATAAATAATTGGTTTCCAGTTAGATTGTAAAAAGGTATCCATTTATTATGAGCACTGGTTCATAACTCTGCACAAGGTCTTTACGAATAAATATGTCAATGCCAACCACCTTATGCCTATAATTCCCTACTGACCCATGTCCCAATTGACCTGAAAGTCCCTAATCGTCAATAGGGTCTCTACTGATCTATCATCCCTACTGACCTATAAGTCCCTATTGACCAATAACTCCCCACTGATCTGTCATAGCACCCAGCAATAGTGCACAGAACAAGCTAGCTGACAAATATGTAGCTCCTAAAAATAGCACCTGCTAACTGATTCAAACTGTGAAATGTTATGATGGTTAGTTTACCCATCTACCCTCATGCATAGAGACAATTAGTTACCGGTTCACATGACTAATGCTGACATTACTTTACAATAGTCCGTCTATCCAGGGAGGCACATGGCTTACATTACTTTGCAACAGTCATACTCCACACAAGGATACACATGATATACATTACAACAGTAACACTCTACGCAGGTATAAACATGATATGCAGGGATACACATGATATACATTACAACAGTAACACTCTACGCAGGTATAAACATGATATGCAGGGATACACATGACTTCCATTACTTTACAAAACTCAATTTCTATACAGGGACAATGAGCACAATCACATATCCTAAAAGTGACACACTGAAAGATTCCCTCACAGCAAAAACTTGTGGGGGGAAATAGAATGTTATCTTGATTGTACCTGGTGCTAAACTCAAAACAAGTATGAATTAAGGGATTGTGCTAATGAAGATCAATAGATACCGACAATGTTCATGGGGGTAATAATGAACACAGCCTGGTGTAATGATCACAGCCCAACAAGCACTATGCTTTGTAAAAATATTTTTAACACTTTTGCTTCTGGATGGGTGGCAAAATTCAAATGAATTGTACAAATCTGAGAATTAAAGATTCACACAGGATTGTGTAACTTAGTGTAAGCCAGTGGTTCTCAAAATGGGCAGTATGCAATTCATATTATTTCTAATATATTTTAGTTTTCATGAACCTTACTGTAATGATTCAGATGTCTAATAAATAATGACTGTAGAAGGGATAAGTCCTGAGCATGAATGAGTTCTGTAATTCGAATTGTACTGAGAATTGGTTTGGCTAACAAAAAAATTCAATTGTTCTACGCATCAGAAAATCTAAAGGTTTTCTAAGGATTTGGTTGTTTTTTTAATAATAATGAAAAACTTAGTTAAAAGCTGCTTATTTTAGACAATGATTGTCACTAAATGTATTCCTATTGATTATGCCTAAAAAGTATAAGAAAATATGCCTAAGTAAATATGCCTAAAAAGTATAAGTAAATATGCCTAAAAAGTATAAGTAAATATGCCTAAAAGTATAAGTAAATATGCCTAAAAGTATAAGTAAATATGCCTAAAAAGTATAAGTAAATATGCCTAAAAAGTATAAGTTAATATGCCTAAAAGTATAAGTAAATATGCCTAAAAGTATAAGTAAATATGCCTAAAAAGTATAAGTAAATATGCCTAAAAGTATAAGTAAATATGCCTAAAAGTATAAGTAAATATGCCTAAAAAGTATAAGTAAATATGCCTAAAAGTATAAGTAAATATGAGTAAAAGTATAAGTAAATATGCCTAAAAAGTATAAGTAAATATGCCTAAAAGTATAAGTAAATATGCCTAAAAGTATAAGTAAATATGCCTAAAAAGTATAAGTAAATATGCCTAAAAGTATAAGTAAATATGCCTAAAAAGTATAAGTAAATATGCCTAAAAGTATAAGTAAATATGTCTAAAAAGTATAAGTAAATATGCCTAAAAGTATAAGTAAATATGCCTAAAAAGTATAAATAAATATGCCTAAAAGTATAAGTAAATATGCCTAAAAAGTATAAGTAAATATGCCTAAAAGTATAAGTAATTATGCCTTAAAAAATATTTAGAACAATGTCGTTTTTTTTTAAAAATTTTGTAACCATGTAATATCATAATGTGACGTGTGGTGAAGGAGCAGTTATAAATTTGGGCGGTTTTAGTATTTGATGTTGCATCACTACATTTCAAACCGCATCACTACATTTCAAACCGTTAGTTTATTGATATAAGTTCAACTTTAATGATTTTAATTATAAATAGACATATACAAGCATATCAGAACAACATTAATTTAAAAAAATTAACATTGAATAAATTTCAGAATAAAATATTTAATATTTCTGGTGCTTCTTGAAGGCTATTAATCAAGCAAGTAAAATCAATTTTCCTTTTCTTTCTTTTAACATTTTTTTAATATATATATTATAAAATTATTATTGCTAACTAAGTAGTTTCTAAAATATTTAATTCATGATGAATTCACCACATAGGTAAAAAAAAATGGAAGTGTGCCAAAAATATCAGTAGCTCATCTACAGTAATGTCAGTGAAAACAAAGCATGGAAAGAGTAGAGTGAATGATTAGAACACAGCAGGGAGAAGTATTAAATTAAGACAGGAAAGGAAATTAAGCAATAAGATAGTATATGGACATGGCAGTATTTAAAGAGAAAGGAGAAACAGAATATCAGCAAGTTATTTCAAGATAACAAGATGAACTGCCAAGACATCAAGGAGGAGAAACAGAATATTAGGGAGTCGTTTAGAGATAACAGGATGAATTGTCAATACAGCAAGGGGAATAAGTTTTAAGAATCATGCTCTTCGGTAACCTGTCCCACTGACCAATCAAATTCTGGTAGATGATAGAACCAACCAATAGTATAAAAGTCAAAGAAACATGCTGTCATCTCTGACCTAAGAATTACTTACCAAATCATACTTGGCAACAATTTCCGCCCTCTCTTTGGCAGCCCTCTGGATCTCTTCATATTCTGCCAAAGATGAACCTGGGATCAGAAAATGCAAATAATTAGCATTGAACCAAACAGAAGTTATCTGGGAACAGAAGATACAAAAATTAGCATTGAACCAAACTACAGTTATTTGTCAGATTATTTATATATACATACACACACACACACATATATATATATATATATATATANTATATATATATATAACAATCAACAACACTTATTTATTTGTATTTGTGTAATGCAAAGCGATTGCTCAGTTTATTGTGTCACTGTGCTGAGCCAACAAACAACGCCAGTCAAGTCAAGGAAAGCAATCATACACCGCCGTGGTTAGCAAACTTTGAGTTGATTAGTGAAATAGTTCTTCCATTAACAGAGATGATCAGGTCATAGAAAACTTTCATTAGACAAAAAGTCACCAGCACTGAGATACTCGCACACAAAGGAGTTAGTAAATTTAGTACCACAGTGCTGTCCGTATGACTGAAGACGCGTCATGCCAACGCCTCGTGTGTGTCTGTGGTGTGGTGTCGGTGGTGTTGTATCCTACAGTCCGTGTTCAGCTTCTTATTGGTAAACGCCATCCGTCTCGCTCTTCCCCCCCCCCCCCCCACCCCCCCCCCCCCCAACCTCTCACCCACCACGTCCGGAATATTTTACAGAAAAACGCAAGTGGGATAAATATATACCGGTACAGAGATTTTTTGGGGGGTCAATGGGGATACAATTTTAACCAACCCGTTCACACTGAGCCAGTGGTCAATGACATTTGACAACGACATGTTAGGATAAGGTTTAACGACATGTTAGGATAAGGAGTTAACGACATGTTAGGATAAGGTTTAATGACATGTTAGGATAAGGAGTTAACGACATCTTAGGATAAGGTTTAATGACATGTTAGAATAAGGTTTAGGTCTACTGAAATGCTCGGATCGGTTCGTATTCCAAAGGTATATGTATGCTACGTTAGGATCAGGTCTACAACAGTTGGTCACAAGTTAGAGTTGTCGGAGCTCAATCACTATTCATAGTTGTCGGAGCTCAATCACTATTCATAGTTGTCGGAGCTCAAACACTATTTATAGTTGCCGTAGCTCAATCACTATTTATAGTTGCCGTAGCTCAATCACTATGTAGGCCCCCTATAGTTGTCGTAGCTCAATCACTATGTAGGCCCCTATAGTTGTCGTAGCTCAATCACTATTTATAGTTGCCGTAGCTCAATCAATATTTATAGTTGCCGTAGCTCAATCACTATTTATAGTTGCCGTAGCTCAATCACTATTTATAGTTGCCGTAGCTCAATCACTATGTAGGCCCCCTATAGTTGCCGTAGCTCAATCACTATGTAGGCCCCCTATAGTTGCCGTAGCTCAATCACTATGTAGGCCCCCTATAGTTGTCGTAGCTCAATCACTATGTAGGCCCCCTATAGTTGTCGTAGCTCAATCACTATGTAGGCCCCCTATAGTTGTCGTAGCTCAATCACTATGTAGGCCCCCTATAGTTGTCGTAGCTCAATCACTATGTAGGCCCCCTATAGTTGCCGTAGCTCAATCACTATGTAGGCCCCCTATAGTTGCCGTAGCTCAATCACTATGTAGGCCCCCTATAGTTGCCGTAGCTCAATCACTATTTATAGTTGTCGTAGCTCAAGCACTGCGCATAGTTTTCGGAGCTCTACAAATTCTGATATGTGAATGTCCACTAGCCATGGGAATGTCCCACACTACTACTACTACATCCCAGCTCTGGATAAAACCACAGTTTAGACAAGGATTTAACTCCCCACTGAGAGCATCCGGGTGTCTCACCAACAGTGATTCATAACTCGATATCCCCCCCCCCAACCCCTTCCCCAAACCCCGCTATTTCAAGTACTGGATTATACACTATGCATCATAAAGTGTTGCTGAGAATAACGGTTTGTTTACATATTTTTTTTTTACAAATAACTAATTCCCCAGCAACATTCCACGATGACATCATGACACACGTTGATGCAACCACCTCCCGGACACACAACGGCCAGTGTCGGCTTGAATTGCTCGACTCGTTCACAAACGGTAGTAGTGGTAGTGGCGGGCGGTCCTGTCGACGTCACACGATGAAACATAAGACTTATCTCGAGCGCTACCGATACCTTTGTCAGCACTACAATGGCGGCCATTTATGGTGACGACACACAGGACATTCGCGTAAAGAAATGCAGTCACTGGGGTGGTTTCATGTGCTAAGCCAAGGTTCGCAGGCAAACTGTGGAACGCGACCCTTTTTTTATAAAAAATACGTATATTCGACAGTCAAAAAGTAGCAACGAAAATAATTGTGTGGTTGGTGTATTGTATTAAATGGGTCGCGGCATTATAAAGGTTGATATCGGTAGTTATGACGCACACTCAAGTCAGGGCCGACACTCATTGTCCTGATACACAATGTTGGCTCAACGTCCAATGAGATAAATGTCATTTATTTTTGTTGCTGGCATCCGCCCGTTGCAATGTGACGATGGTGAAAGACTTCCCAGGACGAAATCCACAAGGATTTTAAGCTGGGTGCCAACAGCAAATCGCCGCTCTCCACGCCGCTGGATAACTGATAACCCAAGGGAACATCGTGTGGATGACACAGCTTGGCACCAGTGGAGTCGCAGGAGTGTCGGTATGTTTCATCGTATCAATGTTATCCGCCTACGGGACTCCATCTCCGGGTTTGATTTCAGGGCTTCCTTCTCTTGGATGGAGATGAGTTGCCATCTAAGGTTAACGGGCTGGTGACGTTATTGCTTGAATGTGCCTTTAGCTGGAATTGAACTTGAGATTTGCTCAGTTTAGACCATTCGGCCACCCAGCACCCATAGTGTTCATTTTACCCACTGTAAATCAACTCCAAAAAATATAAAGATCATTTACCCATTATACATCAACTCCAACTAAGATAAAGTTCATTTAACCATTATATATTAAATCTAAGATAAAGATAATTTACCCATCGAACAGCAACGCCATCTAAGATAAAGATCATTTAACCCATCGAACAGCAACGCCATCTAAGATAAAGATCATTTAACCCATCGAACAGCAACGCCATACGCCATCTAAGATAAAGATTATTTAACCCATCGAACAGCAACGCCATCTAAGATAAAGATCATTTAACCCAGTGAATATCAACTCCAACTAAGATAAAGTTCATCAACCATCACACAGAAAGTTCCACATCATTGTAAATTGCAGGTTTTATTTGTATAATAAAACATAAACTGCGTGAAGCCACACAAGATCTTTACCCCCCCCCCCTTTCCCAACTGTGTCACAAAAATGCCCCACTTTCTTTGACACAACCCCCCCCCCCTTTTTTTTTTCCGGAGTGTGACGTGCTTTATTTGACGGCCCCGATATAACATTATCAAACAAACTGCTTCAGGAAACACATTCGCTATAGAATAAACTACAGATTCGTCCCACCAGCCGTCATCTTGGTGTACACAATAAATGTGTGAATGGCGAAGGAGATCGTCCGTTTGAAACGTTGACATTTTAGAAGCCGCAACGACGACACATTGTCACGACCACTCTTGCTGCATGACAGACTCCAACTAGCTCAAAGTGTACACCATGTTCAGGTATGTTTGTGTGTAGGCCTCACTAACTATTGAACACCCACTGGGTTAGCGCGTGACTAACAGAGCAGTCACGGAGTGCAACCACTAGAACCTGACCGTCACCATTCTTGTCATTCGTAGAAAAATTCCAACACACCTGGTCATGTTATCTATCAACCGTGGCATTCCCCCGTCTCTGGTCTGTATTTCATGGGATTGTACGCACAGGCCGTAATCAAAACAATCGATACGCGTCATGACCAGACACCCGACCCTTGGACCATGTCGCACCTCTCTGTTTCCACGAACCGAGAGAACTTTCATTCATAAAACTTGCCTGTTTGTGGCGGACAAAACTTATGGAGATGGATCTCATCGTCAACATTCTTTTTGAAACAAGTCCCCCTTTGACCGTGACTTTGCTCATTGGCCTACATTCCTACAACTCCAGCATGCGTCTCATGGTAAAGCAGCACCCACCTGCCTCCCAACCACGTATTCCTGTCCTCTACCAGCGGGTATTCACAACTTTCCAAAAAAATAACAAATCCGCCCCTTGGTGTCTTCTAAGCCAACTTTGTCATACCCAAAACATGGGCCCCTTGCTGTCTTCTAAGCCAACTTTGTAATACCCAATACATGGACCCTTTGGAGTCTTCTGGGCCAACTTTATCATACCCAAAACATGGGCCCCTTGGAGTCTTCTGGGCCAACTTATCATACCCAAAACATGGGCCCCTTGGAGTCTTCTGGGCAACTTTATCATACCCAAAACACGGGCCCCTTGGAGTCTTCTGGGCCAACTTTATCATACCCAAAACATGGGCCCCTTGGAGTCTTCTGGGCAAACTTTATCCTACCCAAAACATGGGCCCCTTGGAGTCTTCTGGGCAAACTTTATCATACCTAAAAAATGGGGCCCAATGGGCCCCTTGGAGTCTTCTGGAACAAGTTTGTCATACCCAAAACATGGGCCCCTTGGAGTCTTCTGGGACAAGTTTGTCATACCCAAAACATGGGCCCCTTGGAGTCTTCTGGGACAAGTTTATCATACCCAAAACATGGGCCCCTTGGAGTCTTCTGGGCCAACTTTATCATACCCAAAACATGGGCCCCTTGGAGTCTTCTGGGACAAGTTTGTCATGCCCAAAGCATCCGCCCCTGAGGTGAGCTAGACAGTTGTATCGATTAGGCGGCTGAACAGAACTAGTGACATCACCAAATGACGATTACGGGGCGTCGGTTCACCCCGTCTTTCACTCAAAGGTTTAAGGGCGACCCCCGCAGGGCGTTGTCAACAGTAAGAGTCGTGTCATTTTCAAAGTAAAACGTCATTCAATACGCCCTCATTATCAACCCGCTTAAAAACTGTCACCGGCCATCACCGATGGTCTCACCACAGCTCTTCCTACACTAAATCGTATTTATTATATGCGGTATGCGACGGTTAAAAGTTGTTTTACAATATGGCACCGTGACCTTTAAGTACGTGACTTAACCATCATTATATTCTTCAACGTCTGTATCATAAGTGGGGCGGGAAGGGCGCGGTGGTCGTATGCAATCTGTTTGGTTTAGTATTAGATTTGGCAAACTTAAATGGCAGTGTTCATCCATTTAACAGTTGGTCAAGTGTGCCCCATTTAACTTCTGCGTGCTCCAAAAAAAAGTGTGCTCCGGCCACAGACCGTAGTGTGGTCCACACCCGGGCGGTCCTTGATTTGGACCGCCCAATTAACGAAAATAAAAAAACATACAGAAGGCAATTTTTTTTTGTAATAAAGAAGCTATATAAAGAATATGAGGGCGACCGAAAATACCGCACCAGAATAAATGCCGTCGGATGCAGACCGCCCCCTCCTTCTACGCCCGTGAATGTACCAACCATTGTTAAGACTTGTTCTACAGCCCCATACATTCCTGTCACCCACTAAGTTTTATGAGCAGATCACGACCATCCAATGTAAAAGATTTAAAAAAAAACACATGCATAATAAAACTATACTATTTATTACTCTACACGTAACAGAGCTTAAAACACTTGGTCAAATCGTAGGCTCTGTTGCAAGTGTCTCAGAATTTAGTGCCAAAATGTTAACATATGTGCCGTCAGGCTTATTTAATAGGCCTTGTGATAAATACAAGATGCCTTCCAGTAAGAACTCTAACAATGCTTCCCTCCATATGGCATTTAACACGGGGGGGGGGGGTGTGTCCCGTGATAACACTGGGCCGACGTTCATTTCACAAGAGACGAGACTTGATGCATTGTCTAGTATGGAAGTTGATGCCCTGCCGCCCCTCCCGACAAACAGTTTAAACTGGACAGCAGGGCCAGTGTTACAGCATGGCTCACCCCACCCCCACACAGTGAAGGCGCGGCCCTGAATCGACCGTTTCTGGATGATGTGAATCTTCATCTGGATGTGTCATGGTCAATACGGGGAGTTGGATAAAACAAGACAGATTCTTATATCATTATATGACAGACATGATGTTCGTGCACTGATCAAGTCCCGCCAACGACATCACATGGGTAGTAACGAGACACGCCTATAAACCCATTAACAATCCATTAACATGTCAAACACTGTTGGCTGGCAAATCTTGGAACTGGACTAGTCCAACGCCAACCGCGTTAGATGACCGTATACTTCACGTAACTGGACATGTCAATCAGAGAAAGGGTTACCTCATTTGCCATCCACATATTCTAGTATATGGGCACTTATCCAATAAAAGCTCGTACTGTGCATGTGTCCAATTGGATGACACAATCAGTATCATTTGTACATGACAAATCTGTATGCATATCCATCCAGTCGACCACACTACAACACGGAGCGACTAGCGTGACTGAGAATATGCATCTCATATTACGCTACAAGATCTAAACTTGTAGCCGACTTAACATTATAGGTCTTCTCGTCTTGTCTTCAGAACTAAATTACCACATCCGATCAGACGACCCAGGGGGAAAGATAACTCTAAAGGTCACTGCAAAGCAAGGGCTGGATTATTCAAGTGCTACTACAATGCGTTTCTGGTTTCCTTCCGAAATGAGCTCGCTCCCAGTACTCATATCTTCCGGGCGACCTACGAATCAGGAAGTTATAACAAACGTTTAAAAGCAGGGTTTCCCAAGAAAATGATGGGCCTACATTGATATATTTCGTCTTACTTACAAGACAAACTCAGATATTTGGTCTCATCTTACATATATGTCTGGTACCAGCTAACACAGAACACTGGCTGTTCTGGTATGAGAAAACACCCATATGGTATGCGTTTCCAAACATGACTGGGCCGATTGCAAATGTCTGATCTCAACTGACACACATATATGCCTGTATTAACTTACACAAAGGACACAGATGTGTACTACAGACAAAACCAGGCGTCTGGTACCAAGTTACTCAGACCTGACTGACTTAAAGTATACAAACGTTGGTCTAAAAATGGGGAGGGACCAATTAATATCCACACCCTAAGCCAGTTAAAGTACTGCTAAACTTGCCATGACACTTAAAATGTATATCTTTTCTTAAACTTCAAAAACAAAGTAATTGTGTATCGCTTATTAAAGGAAGCAAGCAAGAAAAACTGTATGAAGAACTTAATTGAGTTGTATGTAGTGAACACGACATTGAATTATAGTATGTAGTGAAAGTGACACTGGGTTACAGTATGTAGAGAACATGACATTGGGTTATAGTATGTAGTGAATATGACATTGGGTTATAGTATGTAGTGAATATGACATTGGGTTATAGTATGTAGTGAATATGACATTGGGTTATAGTATGTAGTGAACATGACATTGGGTTAAAGTATGTAGTGAACATGACATTGGGTTATAGTATGTAGTGAATATGACATTGGGTTATAGTATGTAGTGAATATGACATTGGGTTATAGTATGTAGTGAATATGACATTGGGTTATAGTATGTAGTGAACATGACATTGGGTTATAGTATGTAGTGAACATGACATTGGGTTATAGTAGAGGCCGACCGAATTTCGGCTTCGGCGCCGAAAGTGGCCATTTTATCACTTTCGGCCAAGTTTCGGTTTCGGCCGAAACTGAAAAGTTAACTTTCGGCTTAATTTCGGTTTTGGCCGAAAGAGAAAAGTTAACTTTCGGTTTTTCTTCGGTTTCGGCCGAAATTGACTTAGACTTTCGGCCATCCGGCCGAAAGTGACTCAGGTTTTCGGTCATTTAATACTCAGCGAAAACGATATTTAACAACAAAATAAGCGACATTTAAGAACAAATTAAGCGATCTTTGAGAACAAACTAAATGATATTTAACAACAAACTAAACGAGATTTATGAACAAACTAAACGATATTTAAAACAAACTAAGCGATCTTTAAGAACTATCTAAGCGATCTTTAATAACAAACTAAACGATCTTAAAGAACAAACTAAACGATTTTTAAGACCGAACTAAATGATCTTTAAGATCAAAACAAATGATCTTTAATAGGAAACTAAATGATTTATAAGAATAAACTAAGCAATCTTTAACAGAAAACTAAATGTTCTTTAGGAACAAACTAAAAGATCTTTAAAAACAAACTAATCGATCTTAAGGAACAAAATCAATTATCTTTAAGAACAAACTAAGCGATCTTTGTGAAAAACTAAGCGATCTTTAACAACAAACTAAGTGATCTTTAACAACAAACCAGGCAATCTTGATGAACAAACTAACCGATCTTTAAGAAAAAATAAAGCGATCATTAACAAAAACTGGACGATCTTAAACAACAAATTAAGCGATCAATAACAACCAACTAAATGATCTTTAAAAACAAATTAAGCGATATTTTAGAACCACAATTTTTAGAGACCCGGTTATTAAGAACAAACTAAACGATCTTAAAGAACAAACTAAACGATTTTTAAGACCGAACTAAATGATCTTTAAGATCAAAACAAATGATCTTTAATAGGAAACTAAATGATTTATAAGAATAAACTAAGCAATCTTTAACAGAAAACTAAATGTTCTTTAGGAACAAACTAAAAGATCTTTAAAAACAAACTAATCGATCTTAAGGAACAAAATCAATTATCTTTAAGAACAAACTAAGCGATCTTTGTGAAAAACTAAGCGATCTTTAACAACAAACTAAGTGATCTTTAACAACAAACCAGGCGATTTGTATGAACAAACTAACCGATCTTTAAGAAAAAATAAAGCGATCATTAACAAAAACTGGACGATCTTAAACAACAAATTAAGCGATCAATAACAACCAACTAAACGATCTTTAAAAACAAATTAAGCGATATTTTAGAACAACAATTTTTAAGAGACCCGGTTTAAAAAAATAATACTTTGCATTAATTTCCTCCCCCCCCCCCACACCTCAATTTTTGCCAAATTTTCTCCTAACATACTAATTAAAAAATTTTTTAACGCAATTTAAATTACTTTTATATTTAAATGGTAAAATCCAAAGTATTCATCAGATCAAGGGTCTCAAACTCAAATCATCAGGGGGGCCGCAGGAGGTAGTGTCTGAATGAGAGTGGGCCGCATCAAGTAATCCACAAAAAAGCGACTACAACTGTTACAATCTGCTCAACCTTTATAAAAAACAATAAAATCATTAAGGGTTCTCAAGAACTAGGATTCACTTTCATCCACCTACTCACTGTTGCATTAAAAAATATATAGAAACATTACCACAAAAAAAAAAAAACAGAATTAGACTAGTCAGTGAGATTCGACTGACACCGTCGCGGAGAGTCACGCTATAGCTATGAAAATGGGGGAAACGGGCCGGCGCATTTACACTAAACTTTTCTGTCATGTAGCGGGCCGCAGAATATCGTCTTGCGGGTCACAAATAGCTCGCGGGCCGCAAGTTTGAGACCCCTATATTAGATGTTTATTTATTAATATTCACAATTATCTCATTTTTATAAAAAGAATGTATAAATATTTATACTTTCCCACATTATTTTCGATGTATGCAAAATGTATGCGGGAACGAATTTCAAAATATCTAAATATTTCATTTTCGGTTTCGGCTTCGGTTTCGGCCGAAATTCATTTTTAACTTTCGGCCTTTTTTGGTTTCGGCCGAAAGTCATTTTTAAACTTTCGGCCTTTTTTCGGTTTCGGCCGAAAGTCATTTTAAACTTTCGGCCCATTTTCGGCTTCGGCCGAAATCAGAAAATCACTTTCGGTCGGCCTCTAGGTTATAGTATGTATTGAACATGACATTGGGTTATAGTATGGAGTGAACATGACATTGGGTTATATTATGTAGTGAACATGACATTGGGTTATAATATGTAGAGAACATGACATTGAGTCATAGTATGTAATGAACAAACACATGAAACACAGCTCTAATGGCCTCATATAAACAATAACATGGGTGCTAGTGAGGCATAATCAACACCCACATTATAGAAGGCCTAAAGATCAGTGATGGAAAGATGGACTAGGGTAAACAGGAAATAGATAACACACTAATACTAATAAGACCAAAAAATGAGTAATGGAGGGTTGGAAGAAACAGCTGCTGTGAGCTAGTAAAGTAGAAAACAAACATGCTATTATATTATTACTATATTAATCTCTATAATATTTTTTAATGAATAATTTTTTACATTTTTTTTTTTAAATACGTAAACTATCACAAATTTTTTAAAAAAAATATATAAGGCCTCATTCTGAGTCACCAAAGAAAAAGAATGTTTGGGAGATATTCCACCTCCTCTAAACAACAACATTCCAAGAGGTGAAATTATTCATAGAAAGTAAATAAAAAAAGAACAAATTGACAGTATGACTATCTTTGCAGGATGCAAAATGCTTTGTTGGCCCACAGCGTGTGTGAATATATGTGTTTAATTGGCTAGGTAATCTGGCTTGACATTGGTCAAGTAATAGTCCCACGAAATGAACTGATACTAACCACAAGAACAGCTGTAGTACCAGTACAGGCCACAGTATACAAATAATATAAATTTGTCTCACCACTTTAACCCAACCCAGGCATATTATTCTTTTGGCAAACCAACCAAGTTGATAGACCAAAACGCTGGCCAGAACGCACGTTAAATGGTTTGCTACTATATTGAGGAAAAGTGCAATTTCACAAATATTCAGCATTTGTCGGTTCTAAATTTTAAGTCGAATACTACCCTCAGTGGCCAATGACTGGGGGAAAAAAAGAAAAGTTCAAGATTAGCTGATGACTTTGAGTTGAACACTACCTGATTTGTAAACATTGTACAAGGGGAATGTATCATAGTGGGCTGCTAAGACAAGCTTGTGCACACACAACTTTAGAGGCACCTGAGGAGTGCTAATCTCCCTTCTTAAAAAAGGATAACATCACCTCACACACAGACTAAGCCCATAAAGTACAAGTACTCACTCATTATTATTGAATTTTATCCAGTCTTCCCGGGCCGTTACATTCCTTAAAATATACTGTTCTTCACATATTTCCAATCCATGTATGAAAGAGGCAGCCCTAATTGTAAGAAAGAAATATCATTTTGTTTAAGACCGATATAACTCCTTTAAAAAAACACAAGGAAACATGTAAGAAAAGGTTAATTTTTTTAAAACACAAAACACCATTCTTTAAAAAGACTGCACAAATTTAAATTTCAAAAAAATAATTTACAAGCATGTGGAACAAAACCAAATCTGGATTACGGAAGTAAAACATTTACAAAGCAATAGAAGCCATTTAACATCTTTCTACCTGAGCAAACATAAGTTTTGGGTAGATTTGCACTTCTACAGGAATAATCATTCATTGACTTTTGTTATACAGGTAGTAGAACTTTGATTTGATAGTTGAAGTTGATTTGAAAAAGATTACTGGACATTTATTTCAGAAAAGGTTATTCAGGAATTAACCAAAGTTGTATTATTTTTTCAGCTTTTTCGGAAAGTCCCTTAATTTTCACAATTGTAAAAACTTTTTGTCTGAATTGTGGTAACTACCATTGATAGACCAGACATTTACAAAGACAAGTAAAGGTAAATAAGGTCTTTTTAAACAATGCGTGGGCTTTAAGTAGCTCTAATTTTTTATGTTTCATGTTATACAGTAATTTATCTTGCCACTTTAAGTAAGGGAAACTTTTATCACCCTCAAGATGCTATTGAAATTCTGTAGTGATAAGTCTAAAAAAAAATATTTAAAGATGTAGTAATCCTTGACCTAAATATTTTTCAGACAGGACAGGCCATGATTTGATCTTTTTCTTATATAAGTTAACAAATGGAAAAAAGAAAATGAGAGAGAAATTTAAGTTTTTGAATAATAAGAGGTTAAAGCTCAACATATTAAGAATCAAAATGTAATCTAATCAATGAAAGTCACAATTTTTTAAATATAGATACCTTGTATAGTAAATCTATTATTTGATCCATTATTACAATTTTTTTTAAATGTCATCTATCTAAAGTGAAGCATCTGTATGGGGTTGGGGGGAGCCTAAGTTCAAGGCCTTATTTTAAAATGAGACATTTTTATATTTGTAATGGCAGCTGTGGCACGGGCCTTGAATATATAAGGAGCCAAAAGTTAAGATCTGGGAAAACATTTAACTACTAACTTTGAATGCAGAGGGCACAAAACAAAAAAGTTGCCAGTGGCTTCAAAAAGTCACATATTTTTTAAAATTTAGGCCAGTGCAGTCAAACTTTTTTAACGCAGTGGGCTAATTAGATTTTCTAAATTTTAACCAGTCAGAAACATGACATTTTTTGGACTTGTTTTCTTACATTTCCATATGTGGAAATTCATCAGAAGAAATGGATGTCATCCAGAATTCATTTGGCCATACATTCTTTAATTGTTTATTAAAAAGAAAACTGTTAAGAATTGTTCCTACTGAGCCTACTGTCTCTCACAATTCCTCCCTAACTACTAACTGAATTACGATTGTATCCTGCTTATTTCTCATGAACGTCTCACACTCCTATCGCAACACCTCTTGTTTGGATTTTCAAACTCATCCATAATTAATTTAGAAAGCAACATTGGATTGCAATTAACAATAAGATAATTAAATTTTTAAAATTATGTATTATCCTTTTTTTTTTCTTTTCATTTTATTTATTACTGGTAATATAGAGTGTTTCATGCTGTTGTACAGCTTTCCACAGGTATGAGTAGGCTATAGCCAGCCACTGTTATGATGGAAGTTGTCATCAATTCAAGTGATTTCCAGTATCAAGAATTTGGAAGAATTAGTATTAATAGAATAGGCATAAGAAATCTATAAACATGTCAAACTTGTTTGAAATTCTTAAAGACCTAGGGTTAGTTTATAAAAATCAATTGCTAATAGCCCCTAATGCCAGAAGGTATTTTTAACAGGCCTTTTTGAGATCAACAACACTTAGTTTTAAAGCATAAATTTAAAGAAGGAAATGGTTTCAGGGGTGTGCAGGAAAAAAAAAGGACATGATTATGATTAAATGAATAATGATTGGGACTGACACACACAATGAGAACATGAACATTATTAAGCTTTTTGTAGTAGTAACTGCCGAACAGAAGTGAGTGAAGTGTAGCCTACATGTAACATTAACATATGCCTACATAATAAACTTTAAATTTTGTTTGGACTTTGGCTACTCTAGGTAGTTTATTACTATTACTATTACAATTACTTTACAAACAATCCAAATAATTCAGTTTTAGACTTGGATATAATTTCCGATTATTTCCGATCTCATGATGAAGAAACATTCAAAGACAAGCTAGAAGTTCTAAATCTACGAAAAAGTCAACTAAGCTCTTATTAGACTAGTTTAAGCCCTATGTTTAAGTTATAAGTTAGGGCTTAGTTAACTAAGATTTACAAAGAATAAGACGTTGTATTTTAATTTTAATAAAATATAGTCTATCTATAACTATAGTTTTTTTAGTATTAGATCAGTAGTTAGTAGTCTTGGTCATTATTCATTTACAAAATGTATGGTTAAAATGTAAAAGGATGCAAGTTTTGAGTTAATATAAGAAATAATAACAATGCATTTCTAAACGTCAATGAATATACAAGTATCTCTTATTAAGACAAGCTTACACAGTTTATATTATCCTCAGTCTCAAGGAAGACAAGTCAAACCCACCTAGAATTATTTTTAGACTAAACAGGAACTTTGTCTTGTCACGTGACTATGTCTCGCATTAAAATTATCATCGGAAAAAGTAATAAATTATTCTTAGTTCAAATTTTGTCTGTGAATGTTTAAGAGTTGTGTATAATTATTATTAAAATGTAATGAATTTTATAAAAGAATTACTTTTTAAAACTAAATGTATCTTCTTTTAATGCTATTAAAATAATATAATAACAGTATATTGAAAAATAAAACAAAAAGGGACACTACCTATTAAAATGCAATTTCCTAATGAACTATTGTTACCCTCCCTTACAATTAAAAATGATTTTAGTAGAGGACTGGTCAGGTTTGGATCTTCGCTGACCCCTTCGTCCTAGACAAAAAGTGTCCTCCTCATCCTCATGTCCCTTAGTCCCTGGACCGTTGGGGCGCCACAGATGACATGTGAACCATCCTCCTCCATTCCTCTCTGTCTTTAGCACTACGCACTGCATCGCCCAGTGTTAGTCCTGTCCACTCTTTGATGTTATCCTCCCACCTTTTCCTTTGTATTCCTCTTCTTCTCCCTCCTCTTGTGGTGCCCTGCAATATTTCTTTGGCAAGCCCTTATTTCATTGTGACGTGGCCGTACCATTGTAATTTGCGTTTTTTTCACAGTCACCAGTAAGTCATCGTACTCCCCAATTGCCTGACGCACCCTTTCTTTCACTGTATAATTGGAGATATGGACCCTATAGAAGATGCCAAAAATGCTTCTGAGGAATCTCATCTCCATCGCCTTTATTTTCCTTTCAAGATCGGTTGTTAATATCCAGGATTCGCAGGCATACAGGAAAATGGAGAGGACTAATGAGCGCCTCAGCCTGATTTTGCTGATGGGGGCTATATTTTTGTCATTCCATATTTTCTTGAGCCTTTTTAGTGCTGTTGTAGTCTGCGCAATCCTGCATCCTAGACATCAGTTCGGGCTTGGAGCCTTCTTCTGAGACATGGGCACTTGCCCCCCCCCACCCACTGGATTGATTGGAAAAAAAAATTTAGACAAAAATAGACAAAAAATGTATCAAAGTAAAGAGAAAATAAAGAGAAAGTAACTAAGCTGATGTCCTGTCCGTTCGTTCACCATACAAATATGCTACAGTAAATTAAAACTATATTTAAACATTACTAAAAAATGTTTGACCCACCCCTAGAAAGTTTTCTGCGGGCGCCCATGCCTAGATGTCTTCTTTTTCTCTAGATCACGATCGCCCACCCTTGGTGTCCTCTTGGTTATATGATATTATACCCTGGTATTTCATCCATCTATCCACTATTCAGTGAACTAGCCGCGTCAATCGGCTCAAGGGATAATATGTATGGTCATCGGGTATGAAAGCTGTAAACTTTTCATTTAAAGAAAAAAAAAATAAAGAAACGGCCAGGCTCGTGTGTATTATTAAATGTAGGCCAATGTCAGGCTAAACAAGAGATCAAGAGATTCAACGATTTTTTTGCCAAGGGTTTGGNCGCTTCCAGAGCATCTGACATAATTCTCTCTAGGAAGATGTTGAATAGGGTGGGGGAGAGCAGGCAGCCTTGTCGTACTCCAACCGTGGTCTTGAACCATTCTCCGATGTTGTTGTTGAGGAAGACTGCACTGGTGGCCTTATCATAGAGGTTGCATATCATGCTGGTTAGGTTTGTGTTGATGTTTTAGTTCCTCATGGTGGCCCATAAAGCAGCATGCCAAACCCTGTCAAATGCTTTCTTGAAGTCAACAAATACGTGCTATAGATTTTGTTGGTGTTGAGCATATTTCTCCCATAGTATTCGGAGGTTTAGAATCTGCTCAGTAGTGCCCCGTCCTTGCCTGAATCCCGCCTGTTCTTCAACAATGATTCTGCTCGCCATATGATTTTAGTCGGTTCAATATGACCTTCACCATGACCTTGCTTGGGTGGCTTATTAGGCTAATTGTGCATAGCTTTGGGTTACCTTTTTTGGGGGAGGGTGACGATGAGTGATTGGGTCCATGGTTTGGGCCGTTCTCCTGTAAGCCATATTTTGTTACACATATTAAATGAACAAAAAGTGTATTTGATTGCAAATGGTTACCAAATATCCGCTCAAAATAAAGGCTGTGCTTTGAGTGTGGCGGATGTTTAACTTCAGTGAACATTCTTCATGATCGAGTACAAAAAGTAATACATGAATTAATAGTAGTATGAAGAATATGATGCAATTATGTATTAGTAAAACAAAATATTCTGGTCGATTCAGTACAAGATAATTAATCCACAAATCATTTAAGGACTAGTTTAAGATATATGTGAGTGCTTGAACGCAGTCAGCTCCAATAGTGTTCAATAGTTTTGCACAGTCCGCGCAAAAATGTACCCAGACTTTATAAAATCTTGCACAGGTTTGGGCTGGTAATAAACGCTAATAGGGAATGCTGCAATAATGAAACTAAGAAAATCCTGCTTTTCTGCAAAGGTATTTTTAATTATTTTTATTACTTCAGCCAATTATGAAGTTTAAATAAATGAAGTTTATCAATATTATTTCCGTTTTATATTAGACATTATTATTTCGTTTAAGTATTTTAGTTATCATCGATTATATCCTTTCACTAACAATGGCCTTTCCAGGGGGGGGGGATTTTTAGTAATGTTTTAATGTAGTTTTAATGTACTGTAGCGTATTTGTATGGTGAACGAACGGACAGGACATCAGCTTAGTTACTTTCTCTTTATTTTCTCTTTACTTTAATAAATTTTTTGTCTATTTTTGTCTAAAATTTTTTTATCCAATCAATCCAGGGGGGGGGCAAGTGCCCCCTTGCCCCACCCTGCGGGCGCCCATGATGGCCACTTAAAATATATCATTANGGGGGGGGGGGGGGGGAGTGCCCCCTTTGCACCCCCTGCGGGCGCCCATGATATATATATATATATATATATTTGTGTCAATTAATTCAATCCAATTTAAACAAAATTATTGTTTTTAAAGATACCCACTTTTGATACACTACCCACCTTGCTCATTAGCGCTAATACAGAAAAGCTAATAAAAATATCTAAAACTGTTGACTAATATCTTTGTAACTTTTAAAAAACTGTCTTGATTTACATGTATCCTAAAGGTTTTGTTGCTTAAATCAGGTAAGTAAACATATCCTAGTATAAAACTATATTATTAGGTGCATTTCATTATTGTTTATGATATCAAATATTTTGTATGTATTTAATTATCTGTCGTCGTCCCCCCCCCAACCCCAACCCAACCACTCAGGACTGTGGCAGCAAATCATGCACAGTGACCGTTTAAACGTGTTCGTTTTCTAATTTTCAGTTCCCTCCCTTATCCAAAAATGAACAAAACAAAAACTTCGTAACATTCCATTTATAAAAACAATAACTCCACAAAGTGAAACGAAATGAAGGCCTACGGCAGGCCACCAAGAATTACCCCTGCCCCCGCACCATCGATGGCAACCAGTGAACGATCGGCCTTCTCCACACCATCCACAATCCGTTCAGTGGAGGGCATTCCCCACAAGAATTTCCACAAGTTAGACCAAACGCTGAAGGCCCAAGTGAGCAAGTCGCCCCTCATCATGGCTAATCGAGTTGAGCTAGAGAGTAAGCAACTCAGGAAGAGACCCGCTTTCAGGTAGTTAAACTTGCTTCATCTTCATTTTCTCTTTTAAAATCTTTTTTTTTTGTGTTTTTTTGTTAATGATTACATCTTTCATAGACACTCATGTGTAAATGTAAGGCAGTGGGTGGGCTGTCAACACCACCACCACTCCCTCCCCCAAAACATTTCTTTTTTACTTCCAAGATCGGCCAGCTTCTGCTAGATCTCAGCACACTAGCGACTAAGTACTTTTGGTACATAGGTCCTGTTAGGCAAAAGCACAAATGGGATCTGAGAATTAATGGACATACACACGTCGGATACACATAGACAATTGGAATTTAGGTACTGCTGGACATAACACAATTGGGATCTAGGTACTGCCGGACATAACACAATTGGGATCTAGGTACTGCTGGACATACCACAATTGGGATCTAGGTACTGCTGGACATAACACAATTGGGATCGAGGTATTGCCGGGCATAACACAATTGGGATCTAGGTACTGCTGGACATACCACAATTGGGATCTAGGTACTGCTGGACATAACACAATTGGGATCTAGGTATTGCTGGGCATAACACAAGGGGGATCTAGGTACTGTTGGATATTACAATAGGGATTTAGGTACTGCTGAATATATCACAGTTGGGATCTAGGTACTGGAAATGAAATAAATGGGATCTAAGAACTACTGCGGATTTCGTTATTTCAAGATAACTATTTTCAGATACAAAACGTCCCTAGGACATTTCCCCAAAGAAGCCGAAGCATATTCCTATGTGAAACGGAAAGATCCGCTGACCAAAGCTGTGAAAATTGTACCGGAAATGGTTTATCCAATAGAGGCCAACAGGTGAGGGGTCGTGCGTTGAAAGGCTCAATAAATTGTGATAAGATATTCTATTCGCCCATTCTGTACCCATCCTCTCTCTCTCTCTCTCTCTCTCTCTCTCTCTCTCTTTCGCTATCTCTGACCGGTCAATGATGCGAGGGTCAAGGAATACCATGTCTTTCTTTCGACTGCTTCAATTAGACCGGTCTCCAGGGGGTTAGAATTCCTATTCAGAAATCTTTTTTCTACTGTTCTGGACCAGGTTTCCTTGGGCATTCCACCTTAAAGAGATGTCCCTAGGTAAAGAGATGTCCCTGGATAAAGAGATGTCCCTAGGTAAAGAGATGTCCCTGGATAAAGAGATGTCCCTAGGTAAAGGGATGTCCCTGGAGCTTGTTGTCATTAAAACAATGTCATCTCCAATGTCGGGTCGGCGCGATTTCAGAAACGTTAATCAGCTTCGAACAGAGCCTTATATATTAGGGTTCTAATTTGGCCATGTTTGTAGTCTGAAGATTTGAAAGATCTTTGGCAGGCAATCGCAAGGGGGGGGGGGGGAAGGGGGGGGGGGGG